AACAACAAGTACAAGAACCGAAGAAATACATGGGTAGCGCAATTCCTTTCTCGATCCTTCAAGATATTACAAGCGATGACAGCATCAGAAAATACTGGTAATTATGCTAGATTGAAACATTTATTTTTTTACAAAACTATCTTGATAATCAGATATTTTTATTTGTCATCAATATCTTAAATAGATTTTTTACATATATTTTTTTTACATATATTTTACATATTTTTACATATTTTTTTTTACATATTTTTACATATATTTATATATAAGAGATTCGAAGCTTTAATTTTCAAAAAGTATTATATTCCCAGACAACAAGCACGTTTATATAAGAGATTCGAAGCTTTAATTTTCAAAAAGTATTACATTCTCAAACAACAAGCACATTTAAAAACGTGCCTTAAAAACATAATTTTTTAAATGATTTTAATATTTTAAACAAAAAACATTCTAAACACATCTTTAATAAATTTTTGAGAAAAAAACTGTGTGTGAAAATCATTTATAAGATATTTTTAGAATTTTTATTATTATTTACATTATCAATTATATCGACCAAAATATGTAAAATTGTTTATCTGGATATAAAATGTCTAATTAAAAAATCCAATAGAATTACATAAGAGAAATGTTAATACATTTTATTTGTGTCTTTGGCTTCTTAAATTTCAGATTTATTATCTAATTTATTATATAACATCTTTGATAAATTCTACTTTTTCCTATATTATTTAGATGTAATTTAGGGTGGACTCGTTTGAGTACAAACGATTGCTTATAGCTTCGTTTGCACATACCGCATTGCGCACACTCTCAATTGCACACATTCCTAATTGCACTCAAAGCAATTGTCTACAAACATTATTGCGCACATACACATTTGTACACGCGACCATATTGCACACATGACCACATAAAATAAAAGAATCGTATTAACACGTAACGAAAAGTTTAACCTGTTTAATTAATTGTATAATTATAAACATCGTTATACGCGCGAAAAACCGGGCAATGGTTACGCATAGAAAGTTTAAAATTTACATAGAAATATAGAATTAGCGACCTCATTTTGCATTGAAAATACCGGACATTATACGCGTCGTGTATCAATGTTTCCATCAGAATTTCAAAGTAGAACAAAAAAAAAAGAGAAATTTTGGAAGAGCACGAAAAGAACAATTTTGCTGAATATAGAGTCGAAAAATAATTTTTTATTGAAACATCAAAATAATTATGTAGGATATTTAAATTAGTAAACTGGAATTTAAATAAAATTTAAATAGCCTCAAAATATAATAATTTTGATGGAGCCAAATTATTTTTCTGATTAAATTTTTAGATCCTACAGCAAAATTGTTCTTTCTGTGAGAAGAAAGAAAATATTGGGTGGACACTCTGGTGGAAACATTGATCAGCAGATTGTACTTGATTTCTGCCGACAATCTGGCCGTCTAGTTGTGTTAACAGGCTATGTTATATTTTTGTAAGCACTTTGCCGAGTTTATGTGATATATCAGAGCCTGCATCAAATCTGTAACCATTCTGCCAACAAAATTTAAAGCAGATTCTTGGCAGGATCTGCTTTCAACAGATTTAACTGCGTTTCTGCTGTCAGTATCTGATATACTGACATATATGTATCAGTTAAACAATATACAGGGTGTCCCATTTTAATCAACCTATCGAAATATTTCAAAATCCTTAAGCTTACAATTTTTATCTGAAACATTTTTGTCTTAAGCGTAAGGATTCTGAAATATTCCAGTGGATTGATTAAAGTGGCATGTCCTGCATATAATGTAAGAAAAAGGGGAAAGCAAAATATAATTAAAAACAAATACAAATAAAATTAGATATATATTTTTGATTTAGACAATTTTTTTTATTTATGTGCAATATCGTTCCGGGGATCATGCGATATGCAATGCGAAGTTTAATTAAAAAAAAAAAATTTCAGACCAAAAATAAAGACGACACGCACAGCTATCTTATGCTCTATGTGTAAAAAATTTAACTTTCTTCTGAATGGATTGTGCTGTTTGTTGTAGCCATGCAAGAAAACCGTCAAGCAGATTACAACTGTCGAACAGAGAATAATTTGCCAGGCAATCAGCAAGATGTACACTTCCTTCCTCGACTTGTTTCCTACTGGTCAAATTCCGAAGATTGGTGGAACTATTATCCCATGCAACATATCCCTCCATCCGATAAGTTCGCAAACGAAACGGACAAACACTCCTCTCCTTATCTACAACATCCAGATAAAAACCCGTACATTGGACACGAATCGTTTTATCCGGTTAACGACGGAAGCTTTGTGAACGTAATAAAAGCTGTAGACCAAGAAAAATCTCCAGAATACGGTTACATTGCCGTAATTTGTCCTCAAGCCAACTGTAACGATTTATCGCACGTTAATGCAAATGATTACAACTATGATTATGACACCACTAATCATTCGTCCCCTGCTCAAAATAATACACGTTTCGTGCAAGATGAATCGGTCGATAAACCAAAAAATATCTTGTCCGACGTTAATCACTTGGACGCACAATCAAATGAAACGTACAATCCCAGAAATATCTGCGAGAATTATAATAGTGACAAAAATTGTATTATAACGGCTATGAACATAGTTGACGAGGAAAGCAACGCATCAGATGATCCCAACAAAATTATTATCTCTGATAATGAAAACTCTAAAAAAACGATCGGTCTGCTCAATATCAATTTGCTTAATTACACGTACATAGATACTAGCGATTCTAGCGATTCCAGCGATTACAGCGATTCTGATGGCTCTAGTGACTCCGGCGATTCTGAAATCGCCGACAATGAAAATCTTTCAGATTCCTGCGAGAAACATCGCAATGCCAATTCTGATACATTATCCAATAGCGATTCGGATCTGCACGAGAGCAATTCTATGGATTTTAATTCTTGTGAGAAATTGAAGAGAAATCCGCGCGCTGTTTTTCCCGCCGAGAATTCCACCAATCCCGTGATGCCTTTGGAATGCTCGATTAATACTGAGAATTTGCAAAACAATTTCGAATGTAATAGTGAAAAAATAGATTTCACGAAAAGTCATATGAATTATTCGAACGATTCTTGTACAACGTTAAAGCAAGTAGAGGAACACAATAATGAGACTTACATCGACTTACATCAAAGTAATCTCAATCTTTCTGATAAAATGAATTCTGATAAAATGAGTTCCGGAGACAATCGGGAATCGAACATGGAGCAACGTAATCAAGAGAGTCCGATAACTGATAATATTATTCCTCATCAGTTAAACATAATTGATGAGAATGCGGAACGATTTAATTCCGAAAGTCTTTATTATGAGAACAAAAGAGATATCAATGGACAGAGTGAGACTGCCTTTGAGGTGGCCGATGATCCGTCTGACAATGCCGAAGCTATAATGGTCAGCGTGAGCTTGCCCTTAAAATTCAAATTTTTTGTATCCGAGAACAATGAGGATGTTACTACTGTAACGGTTGGTGACAGTAAAATCCTAAAGGCAGAAAAATCCTTCACTACGAAAAATGACAAGGACGATCTTTATCGTATCAACAACTTCCATATCGACAATGACACTAGAGTAGATTTTACCGTAAAGAGACCAGTGTCGGACGCGATGCGCGCAACAGCAAGCAAAAAAAATAAGGGAAACGAAGCTGCGACATTGCATACGGATTTCACCTTCAAGAAAAATTTGACGAGTATTAAGGAAGCTGGCTGCAAAGAACGGGACACGGAGACGGAATTTCCAGTTACGAAAACGGAAATAAACTCGGCGGAATCAGCACTGAAAAATGTCAATGATTCTATAGACTCTGAATCGATAACGGATAGACGCGACATATTATCATTAAACGATGAAAATTGTGTTGGAGAAAAGAGAGAAGAATCTACCTGCAATGACTCCGAACATGTCGACGACGATAGCAAAACAATATCTGAATCGAAACTTATCGCGTCTGAATGTTTCGGCATGCAAGACGATTTCGAAACATTTCAAACTGAAATTACAAAGGCAAGTCAAACAAATCAGGAGAATTGTCGCGTAGTTGCGAATAATGAAAATGAACGACGTGCCGATTCGGAAGTTTGTCGGACGTACGAAAGCGTTGATACGAAGCGCATTTTGAATGTCCAAGATTTTCGCGAAGATTCCGAAGATGACGAAGATAGCGGAGTCACTTCCGATATAGGCCGGATGATACCTGAAATTGAGGTAGATTCGGAACGTGCTGTGTCAAAAAATCAAAAAAAGTATCAACGAACGCAAACACATTCGCGACTTTTCCGGCTTCTAAATGACGATCCCGTCGCAGTTGATTGTGCCAAGGTAGATCCTTCCCTAAGGAAGGAATACCTTAATTTACCGCTTAAGACGAGCACGTTCAGCTACGACGACAGTTCTGATTATTCCAGCGGTTTGGCATCTCCCGAGCAGTCGCTTATTCACGAGCAATCCTGGCGAAAATTTCACGATAACGCGATAACGAACGGAAGTGTCGCGAGTTTACCGGACGCTACGCTTCATCATTCAACAAACAGCCAACAACAGCCGGAACAAGTTTATTCGAAGGATGATCCGTATTTTTGGAATTGGAAGAGCGCAAAATTATCTAAAGACACGTCATCCAAGTCCAATGTCGTGCCCTCTTCGGCGTTCAAAGTTCTGAATAACAAGATACCGTTTTGGACTTACAAAGTGAACGTGTTGTGTCCGAGAATCAAGAGTTCGAACAGCGTGCCAGGAGCCTTAACGGCACAACACAAGCAAAGCTTCGGCAAGAAGTAATTCGTCGATGACACCTACCCTCCCGATATATATCCTTCTGCGAACACATTACCGTAACCATAAACCGACCTTTGCCATTGCTGATGGCCTTAGGGCAGAATGAAGCTGTGTATTTGTCGCTGCGAGCAACCGCTCTCTTCACAATCCACGGACATATTTTTTCTCGATTTTCTTCGCAAGACAGGGCCGAGTATGCCCGAGGTGCTCTACAGGCTACGTGATTTTTTTTCTATCGGTACATATCGTTTCCATATATTCGTGTATCACTTTTTATTCTCTTCTCCGTATTTCCCACTTTTCTTTCTCACTCGTCTTTCATTACAGTTTTTATTACAGTTGAACCTCTGTATTTGTCATATCGCGGTCAGTAAATCATCTTATTTTCTTTCTGATCTGTACATTTCATTCCAACTCCTTTTCATTTGCGCTCCTTCATCTTGTATAATTACGTATTTATA